AAAGTCCTAATCCCTAAACCCCTAAAGTCTCAACCCCCAAAGCCCTAATCCCCTGATCCCTAAACGGCTGAGGAGCTGGGTGTGCAGCCCCCGGCCGGCTTCTGGGCAGCTGGGCCGAACTTGGCAGTTCTGCGCCCTCTCTTTATTCCCAGGTAGCATGAGGGAGACACCTCTTAAAGGGGATTTATGTCTCTCTTAAAAGGGGCCTTATTGAGAGGGTCTACATCCCCAAGAGTCCCTCTATCCTAACTCCTCTTCATGCAGGGAGTTATTATATCATATTGCATAGCAACCTGTCATATTAGATGATAGGTATAGTATTTTGGATACTTTTGGACAAGTGTTAAATGATATTAGCTCATCTCGGACAGTATATTCGACAACATCAGACAGTTTTCTTGAAGGCTATATGCAACTACAAGTAGCGGATATTTATATTTCTTGATCAGTACTGAATACTGATGGTGCTCAGCTCGTTTCGGGAGTTAGGGTTTACGAGATCCCTGTGGGATGGTGCAATCGTCGGCACAGCTGAATCTGGCTGTAGGCGTATAGACCTAAACCCTAAACCCTAAACCCTATAGAAAGTTAGGCCGATCGACCGACCCCCCCAAATGGAAAGCCAGGACCCTCTGGGCTTCACCAAGGGCGGCGATGCCGCCTCCTTCCGTCGCCGACGCCACTTGCAACCTTTCATTTCAGGGGGGTTTAGGGATTTGGGGGATTTACGGCTGTAGGGTTTAGGGATTTTTAAGGCTTTGGGGTTTTGGGATTGAAGGGTTTAGGGTCTAGGGATTTAAGGGTTTAGGGTTTAGGGGTTTCGGGTTGAGGGCATTTCTCGTAGTGCCATCCGGACACCCTAAATTAATGCGCTCCAACCCAAAACCCCTATTCTACCCCCACACTCTAAACCCTAAACTGTAAGGACATGAAGCCCAAAACCTAAACCCTTAGACCCTACACCCTGCACCCTGCATCCTACACCTGAGCCGTAAGGATATGTTGAGCTGAAGCACGGGCGTGTGGCGATGTTGGCCTGCATGGGATACATCGTCCCTGAGCGCCTCGAACGGAAGTTCGCTTGGCATTCGCTTCTTTGCCGTTGGAGGGTTTAGGGCGTTTGGGGCGAGGCCTTACGCGTTAAAACAGGGCCTTAAGACTTAGAATAGGGTTCTGGGGTATATTATACTAAAACGGTAATACGGAACCCAAAAATCGTATTGGCAGTTTTGTAGGCTTCGAGATCAGGCTTAGATTTCTGGGTTTAGGGCTTGGGGTTCGGGATTCAGGTCCATAGGGCATCGCGGCAGGTAGAGGGAGGTTGTCGCGAGGAGTCTTGAATGTGCAGTGTACAAGTTGCCCGCCAAGTTGTGAGTAATTTCAAGGACAAGACATGACAAGACATATGAATGGGCTCTGTACAAATTCACTGATGCCTTAACAGTCTTCATAAGTAGTTCACAGGAAACTCGACCTCCAAAGCCTCGCGAAGGTACTACCGCTGGCCAGGTGACCTCTCTCCTTCTCTCGGCATCAAGTTCACGGAGACCTGGGTCGCACAAATGTTGACGGTTTTGGGGTTCAGGGTTTAGGGTTGAGTCTGGCAGAGGCGACGCGACCGTCTCATGCAGTCGCGTTTATCAGGATCTCACATATCTCCTAAGATGTCAAGAGCCAGATTTCACTAGCTTGCATCGTGGGCCTGCTAAGCTCAGCAGCACCGGCCGATCTGCTTCCGATTAAGCCGCATAAGTTCTGGAACCCTAAAGTAATCGGCATAGCAAACCCTGCTAGACGGCCTCATAGTTAATGCTACAAGCCTCATGGTAAACCCAACCAAAAGCCCTTGATAGAAGCCTGAACCTTAAACCCTACACCCTAAACCCTAACCCCCCCCCCCCATACAACCCTTGGACCTTGGAATCTGTCGCACAGAAAAGCGAGCCGAGGACGTCCCAACAGGCTTCGCCGCCTTCTCCAAGGCACGGCCGAACAAACGTGGGTCTTAATAACTAGTCTCTCGAGTAGCACGCTTTCTTTTTTGAGGGTTCCCTCATTAAGAGCCCAGAGTAGGAAAAGGGGTACCCTTACCATCAAGGGTTCACTGAGATTGGCTTTCAGTGTAGACTTTATTGTAGTAATATCTGCATCAGCACATATCAGCACTGCACGGGAGCGGCCGTTGTTCCTAAGAGGGCTGCAAGAGC